TTTTTAAACAAAATTTGTAGAGAATTTTGTATTCTACAATATTGATAATAAATACAAATAGCAAAAAACCCATAGGAAATGAGATATTTCCAAAAAAAGCGCAAAAAACCGATTTTTGTGACCTTTGACCTTGAAATTTAATAGTTGCTTACACCCTACCATATGTAGGTTTTGAGACAACTTTCAGGGTGTCAATATACAAGTATTTACAGACTTACAGCTGGGTATCTCGAATTTCGAGGTGAACTTACTATAATGACTAGACTAAAAATCCTTTCAATTTGGAAGAATATGATTATTTTCACGCGCTGACTAATCAACCGCTTCACTATTTTGAATTGATGTCCCACAATTTTCAACCACTTCATCTTTTCTATAGCTCCAAGATTAGCTATATTAGTACAAATTCAATAAATATGGAATATTCATTATTGGAAATGACGTTGTTTAAAAAGATTTTTATTTAGAAATTTTTCCTTTTGCCTTTTATTCCCGTCTTAGTAAATGAAAAACAACTTCGTAAAAAGAAGAAACAGTTGACAACTACAGATGAAAAGTTCTTTAGAAAAAGCGTAGATTATTTGTCAAACAATGAAGAAAAGTTAGAGAGCAAAATAAAAGAGAATAAAATATTTTTCTATTGTACGATTTACTATTTTCATTTTCAAAATATAACTTTGTGTACCATTCTGGGAATAAATAAAGCTATAAAGTTGAATCTTGCAACGAGCATAGCATAACTTTTTCCTTCTGGCAAGAAAGCACTTGTTCTTTCAGCTGAGTCTTGAGAATGGAAAATGGTCGTAAATCAGCAGAATCGCAATAAATAAAATAAAGGAAATGAAATGCACTCACCTTCCGCCGTCAAGGATCTCCGTGCTTTCCCTCAAACGCGCTATGGGAAATTGTACGGCTTTCACGAATTCCCCTTTGTAAACTTCCTGGTTTCTGTGGTCTTCGCCATCTCCCTCTCTTCTGCACCCTGCAATATAAATCCATTATGAGGAATTTCAGTCACTTGCTGAATAACTTTTCAACGTGTGCTATGAAGTGACTAGTTCAATTATTCACTGTCCGAAATAATCAAATTATCATGTGGATCAAGTCCGATGTTTTATATAGGTCAAACTGGAAGAACTTTCAAAGCCCGCATGAAGGAACACAGAAATAGTTTCCAGAATAAAAACATAAATTCTGAATATGCCACTCATTTAGTCACAGAGGGACATGAGTTCAACTATGAATTCAAGCCCCTCCATTTCCAGAAAAAAGGTTTGGAACCCAACCTGTTTGTAAGTATGGATATGAACAAATTCGAAAACTTTCAATATCTTATGAACGACCAAACTGAACTGAATAATTCGCTATTATCGAATCTGTTCATTTCAAGGTAAAAAAGTTTAAGTATATAATAAAAATGTTTATTGGCAATCTCAAAATACAAAATATGATGCATCAGACAATGAACAAGAGCAGGAGGAATTCCATTAAAACTGATTTGTTTGTGCGTGGAAGGGTTTCTGGTTCTTGTATTGTTAACAGGTGTGCTACTTGCACGGGTATAGACATTAAAAACTAATTTATGATAAAAGTGATTTTTTTCAGTGAAATCTTATAGCTAGTTTGAAACGTTATGGATACAGTAGAATGATCAAAACCTTATAACTGTGTTGGAACATTCTAGATTGATTGGTTTAATTGGTGAGTGAATTGGAAATGATAGGTGAGCTTGTTATTGACTGCTTTTGTTAACTTTCGATTTAGAAGTTAACAAGTTGAACAATGAAAGTTTTGGATATTCTCTTGATCATATTCAGTGAATAGTGCGAAGTAAGATGTATTTTGAATGTTTTAGATGTTAGGTAAGTGCAGTTTCGTGTTACCACATTTCTTTTAGTTTGAATTGTTTGGACATGTTCATTTTCTTTATGCCTTATTTCATATTTGTCATTGATTTTTTTGAGTTCAGATTTGTTTTTGTAGATGCATACGATTATTTGATGCATTCAGTTGTCTGAGGTCAAGTATACCTGTTTCTTGGAATAGTATATTGAAGGAGTAGTAGTTTCTTTTGTCATAGATTATTTTCAAAATTCTTTTTTGAAGGACATCCAACTGCTTCAAATGAGTTTCAACTGAACCACCCAACTTTCGAAAATTTAATTCATTCATCAGGTAATGAATTCAGGTAGATTAATTCATTAGAATGTAGGCATACTAGTAGGAAATATGTGTTTCGCGGTTTTCGTAAAAACCTTTCGTAGTGAAAATTATACACTAAAGTGTATTAGTTAGTTTTAATATGGGTTTTAATCAAGTATCGGCCATAACTGGGTGATACTGCATGAAAATTCATATTGAAAAAGTAATTGATACAGTTTATTGTATGATTTTCACTATAAAGGGTATTAAAAAAACCGCAATACTTGTTTCGCTATACAATAGCTTCCTCAAGCATAAAGCTATAGCTGAGGAAGCCATTGTATAGCGAAACGAGGGTCGCGGTTTTTGTGAAACCATTTACAGTGAAAATCATACAATGAACTGTATTAATTAGTTTTTTGAGTACTGGCCAGTTCTATTCAATTGCTAAAAGGTGAGATCGCGTAATTGTCTTCGAGAACGAACATGAATACGAACAATCAGACTATTTTTCTCAATTCTCTGCCAATTTTTTCACTCTGTAGTTATTTTCATTTTGTATCTTTTCATTTACTTTTCATTTCTTGATAATATAATTGATATTTCAGCTGTCCATTCCAATTCGATTTGTTCTTTCATTGATTTCTAATCACAGTAGAATCATGCTAGATAATGGAAGTTCGAATCAGTGAAATGTGTTAAAACTTCAATAAATAACAATGCGATATCCACACTGATCCACTCAGAAAAACCTATACAATACTTAGCAAACTTTGTAGCGTCCTATCATAAATTCTTAATTAAATTTTATATATGCATAACTCACATGTGGATTAATACTATTTGTATAAGATACGGAAGCTAGCCGGTCGGTTGAAGTGGGTGGTTTGCGCTACTCAACCAATCGACCGCTGTGTGAACCGGTGGTTCGACCGCAAGGCCGGATGATCGATTTTCACTTCCTATCGTCCAACCCGTTAAAAGGTAGGATTTCGTTAGACTTTTGAGACTTGTCATTCGTAGGGGTACGACAGGTGGTTAACGTTTTTTTCAAATAACTATTCTAAAATTGAATAGAACTGGCTGATACTTGATGAAAATCCTTATTAAAACTAATTAATACAGTTTACTGTATAATTTTCACAATAAAGGGATTTACAAAAACCGCGACACGTGTTTTTCTATACAATAGCTTTTTCAAGCTTCAGAAAGGTATGGTATAGCTGTTTTGTACCCTTTTTGTATAACTGTCATTAAAAGTGACATTTTCAATGGTTGTTAAGAGTATTAAAGGATGATGTTTACAAAGTAGCATGTTGAAAATATTTTCAACACGATTTTTTTCGACCAAATAGCAATAAACAAAAAATTATTACTCAATTTTGAAAAAAGTTTCATTATGAACAGTAGATACAATTGAATTGTGTTATAAATGTATTATACACATTAGATGCATTATAATTATTATTATTTATGAACATTACGAAACGTACAATTAGAACAATTATTCTCAAAATATACTTCTGCGCAACGAATACATTTGATATCGAAGTCGAGTTACCCCACATACATGCCATGTCTCAGTCTGGAAGCTACTTGAGCATGGTATAGTGCCAAAAGTTGCTGATCTGTCAAGATATCTGTCATGTTTCTAAAGAGATAACCTAATGAGTTAATTTTACTCTTTAAATTCGAACAGTGTTGTTTCCATGTCAAACATGCATCAATGATAGTTCCCAAAAAATGTGTCTCTTCTTTTTCCAGAATTGACATGTTCTCAATTTGAAATTGAACAGGCACGCAATGTTTTTGTCGATTGTGAAATCTAAACAATTGTGTTTTGTTAGTATTGAGATAGAGACAATTAGCTCCGCACCAGTTTATAACAGATTACAAAGTATATTTACATTTGTCTAGAAGTGAGTTTTCATCCATGTCAGATACTATTAAAGATGTATCGTCGGCATACATTCTTGAAGAAGTATTCATAATATGTGATTCCCAATCATTTGTATATAAAAGGAACACTATAGGCCCTAATACCGATCCTTGCGGAACACCCATTGAAATATTTGAGAAATTTGAATTACATTCATCATAAGTACTCGTACTGTGGTTACTAATTGTAACATATTGTTGACTATTTTCTAAAATTGCTGAAATCCAGTAATGTGCTACGCCACGAATGCCGTATGAGTGTAACTTTGACAACAAAGCATTATGATTGACGCAATCGAATGCCCTGCTGAGACTACAAAAAATTCCAACATGACACTCGCCTGCCTCCAAATATTCAAACAGTGTATCGAAAAAAGAAATACGTACACTTGAGGTGAAAATGAAAAATATAACTAGTGTTTTATAGAGTAATTTTCACATATTAACACATGCATGGACAAAGCAATATATCTCAGAAAATATATATCATGGAATGGGTTTATATTAAGAAGGGACTTTACTGTTGATCGAAGTACTACATCATGAAGGGGTTTTCGATTTGTAAATGTATATCAACCCTCGAGGTCGATTTGATACAAACTTTCAACTTAACTTTGAATTGTTCGATATTATTGATTTCTGTGTTATATTGCGGAAGGCGTCCGTAGAGTTTCGGGCCAAAAAATTCAAAATTCTTCTGCCCAATAGACTTTGAAGCTGGAGTGTGTTATAGTCGTGTTCATTAGTTATCAGAGTGGATTTAGTTTTATGCTGTTCAACATTCAAATTGAGAAAAAAAAGCTGTCTCGGGTTGTTTTACAGAATGAAATTTTAATTATTTTTTTTCTGTACTATCAGTAAGTTAATAATAGTTTTTCCAGCTGCCTTCCAAGCTACTATTCCATGAGCTATATGCGATTCCACTTATGCGTGATACACTGTTTTCAGATGGATTCTGTTCAAGGTATATCTGAGATTTCTCAGTTTGTAGATTAAAAAATGTAGTTTTTTGATCACATACGCGATATGCTTATTCCACTTGAGGTTACTGTCAATAATCACACCTAGATATTTGAATTCAAATGTAGATTCTATTGAAAAATCATCAGAAATTTTTAAAGTAGTGAATGATCTATAGAATTTATTATTGGATGGTGGAATAAACAAATTCAGGCCAGAAAGTAACTACTTTTTGGCATATATTAGTGCAAGTTTCCACAAAAAAGGTAAGTCTTACAGATATTTACTGTCTTTTTAACAGAAATCATTTTAGGTGACTCCCAAGAGGGGGATCTGGAATGTATCTGGGATAGAACGAACATATCTATAGAAGTGATCATGGAATCATGCTGTGTATGGAGCTACTATTTTCAACTGAAAGACGAATTTACGCAAGATGAGGGATTGACTATGAAATCGTCACTTTCACCAGTCATAGCCAACATATATATGGAGTGGTTTGAAGCTGTGACAATTGAAGAAGCCCACAAAGAACCTCAAGTCTGGTTGAGATACGTTGAAGACACATTCATAATATGGAATCATAAGAATACATAACTTGACATATTTCTGAAGCACATCAACAACGTGAAACCTTTCATCACCTTCACATTGAAGAAGGGAGTTCACATCGAATTGCGAATCTTGAACGAATTGGTGAAAATGATTGACACTGGAAAACATCTGTATACCGGAAAACAGCTCACATGGGGCAGTATCTGAATCACGTATGCAACCGCCATCAATCTACTAAATGAGAAATATCAAAACTTTAGTACTTCCGGGATCTGTCATACCAAGGCAGGTTTCGGAAAGATCTTCAACAGAATGGTTACTCTAAAGTGATAGTGGAGCATACTTTGTCTGAAAGATAGCAAGAGCCTCGCAAAGAAGAGATGCCGTCACAACAACTGTTTGAATTCCCCTACGTCAGACGATTATTGTGAAGGATGAGAAGAATTGGATCCACATACAATATTAAAACCTGCCGGAAACACCATCCGTAGCAGCACCACGAAAATACCGGGCCAACAAACGCGAACGGTGATCCCAAGAATTGCTTTTACCGTATATCCTGTGAGTGCCGCAAATTATTAATCAGTGTCACTAAGAGATGATCGAAAGTATTGCCGATCATAAGAGAAACACACAGCGACAAGAAGCCAGCAACTCGGGAATAGCAGAGCATGTTTGGACTCATCAACAAAACATCAAGTGATCCCAAGCCGAGATCATCAACAGGGAGGAACACTGGTTCAAAAGAAAGTTTAAAGAAGTTGTGAAGGCGCTTGAATGGCATTTAAATAGTCATTTCTCGCAGGAATAGTTCAGTCACCACCCGAAGAATATTGTGGATACTATCAATCGGAACGTGGTGAAGTTGGTTTTGTATGTTTTTTTTTTAATTTTCTGCTCATTTTTATTTTCATTCTTTTCAATTCCTTTCGCCCTTTGGTCGATTTCATCTTTCATCTTAATCATAGAATTCAGTGACGGCTCGTGCATTGGAGAACAGGGGAGGCTAAAGTCATAAAGACTATATACACACAGAAAACCCATAAAACGTTCTACCACATTACCATCTTTGACATATCTAAAAACGATTGAAAGTTGTGATTTACAGGTAATATCGGTAGTTATAGCAAAAAAAGAAACACTTTCAATCTCCTTGCTTACATTTTTCTTAATATATATGCCACACTATATATAAGCTCATTTTGGATGGTTTTTGAGGTGGTTTGTGAATCATATTTGCCCCATAACATTAAAAGTTCCTTGTAATTGCCGCGATTATTCAAATCTTCGGTTTCATCGTGTCCGCGAAAAGCTAATTCTTGGGAACCCAAATAAATCGTAATATCGATAAGTCTTTTCAAATTCGACCGATTTGTCCTAACCTGATTATTAATAGAAATTATGGCGTCTTTTTGAGCTGTGTCTAAATCTGTTGCAATATTTTTTTTGCTTAACAATTTTAATTTACAAGACGAAAATATATGCTCCTTAGATTTAAAATGTCTTTCTGTAGAATGAGGTAAATTTTTTAAACGGAGTATCCTATTTTAGAGCACGTTCGGTATTCGGTTTGTACGGAAAGTAAAACACAGGGCCAACAAAATAGTTTTTCTGGTTTAATGAAGCCGGTTAACCAGTCGCATTTATCGTACCAACTAATATTAAATCCTCGATTCTGTCGATTACCTGACGCTTTAATTGAAATCAAATTTGGTTTAGGCTTTCCCAGAGTTTTAATAATGTAAAATTTATTATCATAAGATAAAGACTTAAAATTATGTGTCAGCAACCAATCGACTATATCGTCAGATTTTTTAATTTCGTCCAACTGAAGTGAAAACCTGAACCTTGAAATTGAAAGAAAACACTTTGAAAATATTACCAAAAAGTACTGCCTGTTTTATACACAAATATTATCAAGAAACAATAAAACGATTTACCGAAATATTTTTCAGTCCCGGTCCGTCACGGCATCCCGTCCGAATAATTAAATGAAAAACAAACACAATCGTACACCAACGGAGACCAACTGGAGGCTAGCCGCCTCTAACGCTATAATTTCTGCAACTGAAATTACAAATCAGGACGTAGTCGCTGGTTGGATCGGCCAAGTGGAGCCTGTGTTTTTCAAAGCCGTCGGAGGCTTGGCTCCCTTGCAATGTATGGCATTTATTATTTTGGGTTGATGGTTTATTCGTTATTCGTTCATGGGCAGTGCGTTTGAGTTTTGTTGATGCAGGATACAGTGTGGTACGTAATACGTAGTGAGTGATAGTGTTTTTTCGGGCATATTATGTATTTATATCAAAAATAATGGTAAAGTAATGATACCCAAGCATTGTTAGAACAGAATAATCATAAATATTTATCAATATCTTTCAATTTATCGCGATGAATAGCCTCACATTTTATGGGGAGGCTAAGCCTCCCTTGCCTCCTCTGACGAGCCGCCGCTGATAGAATTGCATATTAGAGGGATAATATTAGACAATGGAACTCCAAACTAGTAATATTCATCATTCTGGGAATTGATGGAAAAACTCCAGTCCTGCAGTAGACAACTCACCTTCAACGAATCCGACAGGCTTTTGACACCCTCCCCCAGCTTTCCTCCATTATGCTGATACTGTATAACCATCTCTTCAGTCTTCTCCAACTTTCTTCTTCTGCTATCCCTTCTACGACACTTCACAATCATAACCGTCACCCCAACCAGTACGAGGAGTCCAAGAACCGAAAGGCCAACGACAGCACACAAAACATACTCCAAGGGAAAAGACACGATAATCACGATTGGGTTTTCTTTCAGGACGATCCGGATGGTGAAGTTCGCCTGAGCAGTTCCAGCGGGGTTGTCAGCATTGCAAACGAAGGTTCCATTGTCATCAGAGTTGGCGTTGTAGATGAACAGCTCGCTGCGTTTGTTTTCAGAGCCCTCTTCCACGTAGTAGATCAAGTGAACTCCAGGTGCCACCATGGTGTCGTTCCGTAGCATTTCTCCGTCCATCCACCAGGAAACACTGGCTTCAGGTACAGCATGGACGTGACAGAGCAGAGACACGTTTTTTCCTTCTCCCAGCTCTAGGTAGAAGGAAGTTGGCGACACTGAGGGGAGACACGCTAAATCTGAGGGAGCTATAGACTTGATGGGCTGCCTAGCTAGCCGTGGAGGTCCGGAGCAAACTGGGTCCACAGCTTGTAGGCTTTTGAAGCTTCTTAGCCACGCAGCTAAATCTGTCAAGTGACAGTCACACTCCCAAGGGTTCTTCTCGAGGTCTACGCCTTTGATGTAGTCTGGGATGGTTCTACGTCCAGGTATGGTCTTCAATTGATTGTTAGCGAGGTACAGCCACTCCAGGCTATGCAAGCCTTGAAAAGCACCTTCTTCTACTTCCGTGAGCTTACAATTGCTAAGTTCAAGATTGTTGAGCTGGCCTAGATACTCGAAAGAGGCCTTCTTCAGAGAAGGTATGGGGTTTGAGTTGAGCAGCAGCTTCATCAGCGAGGGACAGCCTAGAAAAGACCCACTGGGCACCGTCTCTAGGATGTTATCGGATAAATCTAGCTCCACCAGGTTGGTGAGTCCTTTGAAAGTATCGCGGTGGACGCTCTTGATGCGGCAGTTCGATAAATACACTCTTTGAAGGTTTACTAGCTGCTTCTTCAGGAACAGCTCCTTTCCGAGCTTGTTAAGTCTGTTTCCAGAAAAGTCAAGCACTTGTGTTTCCGGGTCAAGGCCTTCTGGTATTTCCGATAGATTTTTGTTTTCGCACTCTACCGTTTGTTTTCCGTTCTTCCACCTGCATGCACAGAATTCGGAGCAGGCCGCGCTGCCTTCTGTCACGAGCTGGAGGACTAATACCGGGTACATCTGCCACAAAATTTGCATTTTGGTGGGCGGCTAGACGAGGGTCTTGTTTTTGTTGATATCGGCACATTGGGCCATCGCTGGAATCTGAAATTGAGGGAAATTGATATGAGATTCATTTTTAATATCAGAATGTATAGTTGAAGGGAGTTTTTGGCTTTGTACTACTACATCTTGATACAAAAAAATGTGGGAATCTTCCAAAGAGAGAAAAGAAGCAATTAATTTGACAAAAAACTCTGTATACAGACATGTGTAGATCATGCAAGGTAGTAAATTTCAGTTTGCTTCAGGAGGACAGAGAGTTTTTGGATTTCTATCACTCCAGAAATAATCATTCCCTAAAATAAAACCACTTCAATTGAAAAAAATTCCTTTGGCTGGGATTTAATCAAATAAGTGAAGGAACGTCTTTGCGATGTCATCGAGATGACATTGCATTTGTTTCGAAAGAGTTTTTTTTTTCGCACAATTCAATGCTTATATGGAAGTAGCTGTTTCAAAAGGGGTTTTTCTTCCTGTTAGTGCCTGAAAGTTTCTTTTCACATATAGTCAGTGGGCATACTTGAAGACTGGCTATAAATCAAACAATCTGAATGAATCATTCATTCAGGCCTCTTTAAACTCCCTACACTGTAGGTTGATAGACTGACATATATCAGAAATCAACTACTCCCCTGGCTAATACCACGAAGGGCGTTGAAGGACGAAGGAGTCAAGAACTGAGTGTTTTTTTGTTCTGTAAGAAGTTCTAACATCATGTACATGTCCTGGAAATAAAGTACAGGTATTCACGATAATCAACTTGAAATCACTGTCATACAACATTCAATTGACACACAACCCAATTATCTATATCGCATATGTTTCAGTGGTTCTGTTAATAGACACAACTACCGATACTAGAGTGATCACAATCCTGAATGGATCGAAAAAGCCCATATGCAAAATATTGAGAATTTCAACGTATGGGCCGGAATTATGAGTAATATGGTAAGTGGTCTTTTTTCAACGATGGTAATTTTACTTTCGCCAACGTAACACAAGTCGAGTAATTCCATCAGCATAAAAACTGGGTTATCAGGATTCGATAAAATGAAGGTTCGTGAAGATTTCGTTGAGGAAGTTATTGAAGTGTTTGAGAAGATGGTAGTCGGTTGGCGAGAAATCTGAGCAGTATGGTGGCATAACTTCGACTTTCAATTTGTTTGATTTCAGAATGGTAATCTGTGAAACATGCGTACTGGCATTACCGTGGAGTAGAATTGAACCTCTTCTGTTCAGCAGTGTCGGCTGCTGCTGACACAATTCTTGGTTTGGTCAGTTTGCACAAAGGTGACATGAATCACACCAGTCGCTCACCATCATACAGTGACTATGTTTTTTTTTTAATGGGTTTTTGCCTCCGGAAAGTGCATGGATGGCTCACTGGTGTCCAGCCACTATCCTGAACGTCTCCTATTGTAGAGAAACCAACATTGATGATCCGAAAAAAAAATTATATTTTTGGTTGCGTGACGATTTCTGTCTATCGTTCGTTCAATACGTTTTGAACCATCAAAAACCGCAAGGGAGCTGACGCCCAATTCTTCCGCCATCCCACACACCGTTTGTGATGGGTCAGTCTCCATCAGGTTCCTGAAATCTTCGTCCTGAATAACTGTACGTCAATCACTTGGGGGATTAGTTTCGAAGCTGAAAACTCCGAAACGAAATATGGCTAACAAACACAATCATTGCCAAATGCCTGGTTGGTTTTTTGGACTGTTATGGCAGCTTCCAATTTGAATGCGAAGAGATAAATTGACGCAAAATCGCTATAATAGTAATCAGCTGAGGACATACAGAAAATTAAAATTTGGGAAAACGAAATAAATATTTTTTCTCAAGTTTTCGAATAACTACAAATGTTCATTCGGTGGATGGCCTTCTGGAAAAATGTACTTTCCGAAAGTGAGGTTAATTTATTGACTCTGTTCAATTGGCAATGTATTTTCAACTATCCCACAAGAGACTAACAGCAGGCCAAGAGAAAAAAAAGCGTTTTTGTTGTGTTACAAACTATATTCAATTATCTTTCACAGTAATTTGGAACAGCGTTTATGTTGTGCCCTCGCTTAGATAAACAAACTGGTTGAGTTATTCAGAAACTCAAGTGGAAAACTCTTGGAAGCGTAGTATTGGCTGAAATAGCTGGTTGCAAACTCTTTGGAGGCTTGGAGTTGTATAATGAAATTGCATGAAAAGCTCAGTTCAAATGAGCTCGAATGTGGAAACAGGGTCTTGAGAGGAGCGCCTGGAAATCCAGCCTTTGTGTGAAGTCGATTGAATCTCATTTATACTGATGAATCCGCGTTATGAATCCTGGTAGACGACTTATTACAAGTACCAGTACTGTAATAACACGCAACAGGCATATATTGTACGATATTCTACTTCATTCTGTCTTTATAATATTTCATAAAAAAATTGAATTGCTAATTTTAGAAGCAGTTTTAAATGATAGAACTAATTTCAGTTGAGCAAAATATATAAATGATTATAATTGGGATTCTATTCTATTCTGTAATAATAAAAATGAATCGTCTTTATTCATCTTTGAACACACATGTAAAGAGATAACAATAATAGGTATTCAAAAAACTTAACCATGGAAATACAATATTAATTTACAATTTTCCTGATTATCTTAGCTATGATTTCTACGATGAGTATAATTCTATTACATTGTAGAATAATTTTGCTGTCTGAGATCTTTCAAATTAATGAGTACCTTAAATTCATGAAGTGATTGACTGGTCATTATCCGTCCTGTAGATGCAGAGTTCGACATTTTTCCATCATATGGAGCTGATAATAGGGATTTCAACTTTTTTTTGAAGTTCATCAGAGTATATATGAATCGATTTTCTTGAAAACTTTCGAATAATCTGCGAAGGTTATAAATTCTGCATTAGGAAAGCAGTACTGAACATCATCCAGGAAGACATTAAACAGCAATGGTTCCAAATGGGATCCTTGGGGAACACCGGATGGAACTGAACTTCCAGAAGATTCAAATCCGTTGACCCAAGTTGTCTGTGTCATTATATTTCTGCTTTGAGAACGACTCGAGCACTTCGAACGTCACCGCATTGCCTTTGATGATATCTACCGCAGTAGTAGACAAAATGTCAGACATAAAAACCTGCAGACCATGCGAAAAATCACGGAAAATAGCTTCGACACCGTTGTTTCAGGTCGTGAATGTTTACATAACTCACATCTGATTGATACTTCAATGGAAAACCAATATCTATGATGAGTTATGATTAGTCTCACCAAAAACGATTTTTGGAATGGAAAAAAAAGCACAATTTGGAACTTTTCATACCCCGTCTTTGAGAAAAATAAATCAATTTTGCAGTAGCCGAAATTCAAAATCACTCGAATTTCAAAGTTAAATAATCATCAAACAAAGATTAGTTTCCATTCAACAATTCCAAAACTTTTTTCCGAACAGTTTCAAGTTGATAATCTGGTCAGAACATGCTCAAATAATGTCACACATTTTCAAATAAACTTTGTATACATGCATTCTTCCACACCAAATATAGGAAGAAAATATATTACACTCCAACCCACTTTGCTATGTCTTCTGGGGAACAGAACTTTTCAGAGTTGGAGAACTTTTACATTTGTCGTTAACTAATCTTAATCAGCGAAAAAGTTGAAACTAAAACTACACCAAATCATGATTAATGTGTCCAGAAAGTTAACTGCTGCAAACAGTTGCGGAAACTGAAGAACTAGGTCAAGATAGGTGATCAAAATAACAACTGGAGTTGTAGACTGTGCGGTTTTTTTCAATAAACATAAACACAAATTACCCTTGTCTCACAGAAAGAATAGAGGGATCTGGAAAGTAACACAAGATTCGGTTCCAAAGAATTGCGGCACCGATCATATGTTGACTTTGTTTTCAGATCCATTTACTGAAGTGGATGAATTCATTTTGATTTCCACACGGCAGAAAAATCTATGTAACAATAATACTGTGAAATTTTCCAATTCCCGAACTTTCTTAGAATAGCCCTCTCTGGTAAGTCTTGAAATTACTATCAGTTCTTGCACAGTAATATGGATGCAACAGAGATAATGATATGAATCAAAGTTTCAATGAAACGGGTACACAAACATTTTTATGCAGACATCCATAATCAGAGTCTAGCACATTTGTGGGATTGGTCAACATATTCGGAATGCCTTTTGCATGATTTTTCCTATTTTCCCAGGGTAACTGAAGAGCATGGTATTCGTTCCAGATCTTTATTTTTCTATGGAAATTCCCGCCTGATACCTTTGTCTTGTGTGACAGTAAATTGTATGGTTTCATACAGCAAACTAGAAGCCTACGAATTCCATACGATGATAAACCACTGCTAGCTGTGGTTCAACAAGTGGCGCATCAAAATAAACCTCTTCAGAACCCAAACCATCCTCTTCGTACATCCTAATACCACTACTCGCTTGAACCTGTGAACCTCAGACTATTGAAAGAGAACCTCCAACTCCAAGAGTCGGTTACCTGGGGGTTACTTTCACGAGTACCCTCAACTGGGAGACCGAACTTAGAGAAACTCCTGACAGAGTCCGGAAAAGATCTAATCTCATAGAAGCACTGAAGGGCAAGCTCGGGAGATGCAATAGTTAGGCTCTTCTGCATACATATTGAACATTCTTAAGACCGATCCTGCATTATAAAGCCACGATCTACTGCACGGTCTCCCGCCGCATCCTAATAACCGAAAAAAGAAGCTCACAAAATATCCATAGCCGTCCATTCCGATACTCCTCCCAAGTTTCACGTAACACAATGAATATTACCCCAATCAACCTTAGATTTCAGAAACTTCAGGGCCGTTATGCCACTAGAACCATGAATAGACGCCTCGTGGATGCCCCAGAAGGATTTTAAGGAAGAAGCTTCCGTTTCTCCCAGCCAGACTCCTGGAAGCAATGGAGGACCCGACGAATCAGATCCCGAACATCCTCGAGGAGTACTGGCGGGCAGATAGTGGACAGCACACTTCAACCTCACCACATCG